CCACCAAACTCTGTCCTAATGGGCTCCAAACCCCACCGACACACGTTGATTTGAGCCAGGGGGCATGCTTTCCATTAAATTTAAGTTCCGACACAAAACGGCACATGCCGCTTATGCGGACATGAACTGACAGTTTTGCAACGTGTAAACCAACAGACCAAAAACGCAGATCTCACATGGCTTGTCACGGTTGAAACCAAATGGAAAATTGTTCTGCATTGTCTCTGTCAAGACATGAAAGCTGTGGGGGGGGGGACATCATGTCTGATGCCATATGCTGCTTGCACAACTGGTTTTTGAGCCGTTGGCACTTTAGTATCAAGCAACTTTACATGAATGTTGCTTCACTCCTGACGAGGAATCAAATATTCAGCACCTACCGATGTATTCACATGGAAAACATCAGAAAATACTGGTAAAATGGTAAAGAGTGGCCGTAGATTCAGCTGCACAGACATATTTAGACTGCTCAGCGTGGAAAAACACACCTCACAACATTTCAACCTTCACACACCTCTCTACTACCAGCCATTGTTCATTCTGATGGCCTTTTGCTTTTTAAAGACCACTTTGTTGTTGCAGGTTATTAAAAGAAGTTTCAAGATATACATTACAGTGTGTAGTATTTATATCTGCATTAGTGTAACATGACCAGGATTAGGGGTACAGTTGATCATCAGAAGCCCGGTGATAGCAGATGATGTTAGTCAGTGGACTGAATCTATCCAGAAGAAATAAATATTTCTTCTCCTGTATAAGGTAGGGCTGCAACTAATGACTATTTTCATTGTTGATTAATACGTCAGTTATTTTCTTGATTAGTTGTTTGGTCTATAAAATGTCAGAAAAGTGTGAGATATGTCAACCTGTTTTTCCCAAAGCCCAAGATGACGTCCTCAAAAGTCTTGTGTTGCTGACAAACCCAAAGATATTCAATTTACTTTCAAACAGGAGGAAAGAAACCAGGAAATATTCACATTTAAGAAGTCTTTCTTTAAAAACGACTCGATTTATTAAAGTAGTTGGCGGTTAGTTCATCGTTGCAGCTCTAGTATAGGTTCTCCATCATTCTGGCTGTAGGTCAGTGTTGGGTCGGCGGCGGTGCTGTGGCTAACCCCTGCTGTTGGTCTGCATTCACAGGAAAAGCTCCAAGGTTGACAATCTGTTGTTCAAATTGGAAAAGATGAGAGGCGAACAGGAGACTCACAGGTAAACACTCAGTCCTCCTGGGCCCGCTGGGTTTCCACAGAGATTTCTTGTGTGTCTGTCCTGCTGCTGCTGTTGTTGTTGTGGTTGACATTTTATTTTCAAAAGCCTTCTGCCTAAAGGAGGAAACTCTGAATATGTATAATATTTATACATTTCCGTGAATGTCTGACTTTTGGTTAATCACTTGAATTAATACCTAAAAGTTAAAGTACTCCTGTATTCCTGTCTGGATCATATTGATGCAACAATCTGCTCATTGACTTGACACTTGATAAATAAAGAGATATCAAAGGGATAGTTTAATAATGGCTCACACATTTCTCTTGTCTGGTGGAATATATCATCATATCACCAACCAACCACAACTTTTTAATCTTCTATGAGTAGTTGGCCTAAGAGCTTTTGAACAAAACTGATTTTAAAAATTATTTCCTCAGCCTTGTTTTACATGTTAGCAAAAAAAGCTTAAAAACTTAGATTTCAGTGATATTTGGTTGAAAATTGGGTATTCCCAAAGATTTTATAGTTAGTTCTTCTTTTCTGAGATGTTCTTGTAGCTGTTACAACACTCTCTCCCCTTTTTCCCCAGCTTCTGTATGTTGTGCTGTTTTTCTATGTGCTTCTGCATTTACTAGCCCAAAAGTCTCGGTTCATTTTTGATTTCCAAGGGTTGTTATCAACGGGCGCAGACCAAAAAATGCCTCTGGATGCAATTGGATAGGCCTTTAACCGAGAGAGCAGTGGAAACATGTGATGTAGCTTAGTTGGTACATTAAACGTACCAAATCCTTTCATCCCATATTAAATAAATGCATTTTTTTCCCCCTATGCAGAATTTCTGGATAAATACAAACCATTTTATTTGGACATTAAAAACCTAAAGAAACATTGTCTCATTAGCTTAAAATGACTAGTTTGCATCCCTAATTTGAATTCCTCCTGTGTTTTTGTTTTTTCACCCCCCACAGCTCGGCCTCTAATCTTCAGCTCACCTTTACTGGCTTCTTTCATAAAGATGGTAAGTTTGTCCTTCTCTGCAGTCGTCCTTTGTTAGTTTTTAGATATAGTATTTCCAGTGATTCAGGACGTCTTTGTCCTGCTTTGTGTTGTGTGTCCTCAGGGAAGCCATCTCAGGACAGTGAGAATGAGCAGAACTCTGTATCTCTGGAGGTGCGGCTGGTCAAAGTCTGTCACAAGAGAGAAAGGTGTGTGTGTGTGTGTGCGTGTGTGATGATCATGTGGTTATTTCATGGCTGCTAATATGAACATTTTCTTGACAGTCCGCCTGTCAGTGCGATGGATCTGAAATGTCTTTTCCCTTCTTCCTGTGCAGGATGTGAGCTGCCCCGTAAAGCAGGTCCCTACAGGGAAGAAGCAGGTTCCTCTGAACCCGGACACGAGCGCTGGAGTCCAGGCCAAGCCAGGCTCCTTCGCCTCCCTGCTGGTTCCCAGCAGCGAGTTTGAACCCAGCAATTCTCACATGGTCAAGTCTTACTCGCTGCTCTTCAGGGTATCAAGGCCCGGACACCCCCGGACACAGATCAACGGCCTGGCCAACGGAGAGAATCACCACGACAGAGGTGAGCACAGACTTTTGACGTCTGGTCGTGTTTTTGAAAGGATCGTTCCCAGATTTGTTAAATCTGGGGTAGGCAGTTTATTTTAGAAGCATTGTTTTGTTTTATTTTTTGAAATCCTCTTAACATCACGTCAGCAATCAACAAGTGATCTGACATGATTTGGACTGAATGAAATGATTGGCTGGCCCACCTGCCTGTCTACCTGGCTGCCTCTGTGCACACTGCTGGTACACTCACTGTGCATGAACATGTGTTTTGGGGGAGCGGCTTTGGAGGGAGGTGGTGGATACTTTAAAAATCTAGTCTCTTGCTAGTTTGTCCAACATTGCCTAACGTCTCAAAAAAACTGTTTAGTCATACATTGTCTCTCCGTAGGGCTGCAACTAGATCTGAAACGATTCATCAATGAAATCGATTCATTTTATTACTAAAATGCATCGACGCAAATGTTTTTGCATCAAGGCTTTGTTTAATCCATATAACTATATAGCGGCCTGTTTCACACGGACATTAGTGTCGCACATCGCGCTTACGCTGTGTGAACACGACGTGATTATGATGGAGTGCTTCTTAATCGATGAAATAATCTATAGAAGCTTCGAGTACTAAAATCATCATTAGCTGCAGCCCTAACTGCAACTAACGCTTATTTTTTATCGATTAATCTGACGATTATTTCCATGATTAATCGTTGAGCCTATTTAAAAAGTCAAAAAAATGTGATAAATGCTCATCACAGTGTCCCAGAGCTCAAAGTGACGTCTTTAAATTGCTTCTTTTGTCCAGCCAACAAAGACTTTTCATTTACCCACGTAATCAGGAAATAATGGCAGCAAATCAGTAGATTTAAAATTCTGAAACGGTTAATCTGATAATTAAAAGGTGACAATTAATTTTCTTTTGATCGATTATTCGACTTAATTGCTGCAGCTCTAATTAGAATAAATTAACGTACATGTATGTTGCATGTCTGTACATCCTGGAAAAGGAGCCATTCCTAAGGATTCTTCCTCAGTTTCTGCAGAGAAGTGATTTAGCTGATCACATCAATCTCATGAGAATCTCAATGTTAAACTTTGAATAAATATCATTAAGCTCAGCAATTAATTTGTTGAGTACAGTGTTTGTGTTACTGATAGAAATGAGGCCCAAGCCATAATAAACCACATTCTTTCTACTGATGGTCTTTTTTCCTCTTGATAATGTGAAATCACCACACTGATGTTTGGCTCATGGATCAGGTCTGACCCGTTCCAAGCTTCATTCTCGATCCTGTGTGGTAGAAAAGGGGGTTACGAGTAATTTATGTGTCTGTTTTTAGATTTTACAGAGGAAGTGGTGAACAGGAAGAGGAGGAGCTCCTCTCTCAGGGAGGAGGGAGAAACCACATTTGTGGCCCAGATGACGGTCTTTGATAAAAACAGGTGAAGCTCACGCAATCCGAAGCATCTTCCGACACACGGGAACAAAGTGTTTCTCTTATCTCTCAGCTGCAGAATCAAAATGTGAGAAAATGTTGTCGTGTGCTTGTGTGCAGACGTCTGCAGTTGTTAGATGGGGAGTATGAGGTGTCTATGCAAGAGATGGAGGAGTGTCCTATCAATAAGAAGAGGGCAACATGGGAGACCATCCTGGACGGAAAGGTGTGTGTGTGTGTGTGTGTGAGACTTGTATAGTAGTAAGAATCAACTAAGCAAGGCTCCACACTAAAGGTATTTCCACACCAAGTATACATGTACATGTAAGACACTCGCACAAAACTAAAAGTGATTTGAAATCCTTGCTTCTTGCACTATAGAGACATCATTGACCAAAAAACCTTCCAGAGGAATGTTGTTTTCCTGAAATGTTTGGATGATTAATAAACCTGTGTCCTTTTTTTAATGCTGTTTATAAGAAAGTCTTTACCAATCGAGGCAAAGCTCAGAAGTAACAAGAAAAGCTAACAGCAACAGGAAAGAGTCTTAACCAGCAAAGATTTGTTATCTCTTAATAATCTTAATGATGATTTATAAGCATTCTCTTTCTTAATCGAGCACTTTTCAAAACACAAGTTACATTTCACACAAAGCAGAAAAAATAATGACATTTTATGATATAAGTAGTGCTGGGCAACGATTAAAAGTTTTTATCTCAATTAATCACATGATTTGTATAATGAATAATAATGATATTCTAAAGTAGTGTATTGCGCACCTTTAATTTAAATGCTATATACAAAAAAGTGTAATAACATGTGGTTTGCAAACACTTAACAAATAAGGTGCTTTTTACCAGCTGTATTCCCTTTTCAACTTAAACATTAATGTAATCAAATCAAATATAAAACCAAAGCTATTTGCCTGCACTGCCAGGGCATTACCTTTTATCTAGCTTGTTAAAACAAGTTAGAGTCCAGAGCCACGATTATAACATCATAACAGGCACCTTCTGAGCAACAGGTTAAGGTATATAAATCTGTTTTCTTGTTTTTTTTTTCTGAACAGGTATCAGCAGAAACATTTTTCTTTTTATCAGGGAGCAGCAGAAACAGTCTGTGTTCAGTAGCAGGTGTCCCTGTTAGAGTGAGGTGAATTGGTCACCGCCCTGCCGAAGTTGAATTGTCTTGAACTTTTTGTACACGCATCACAAATCATTGGAAGACAGACGATCCTCGCTGTTTGTGAGTTTGAATCAGCATGCAGTGTGTAGCTCTCCACTTCGCTATGACATTTAATTGATGCTTGCTTTTGTTTATCTACTTCTCCCACACGCTGCATCCAGCGTAGTCTGCTGAAGCCTCCCTCCACCGCTTGTTTGGGTGGCTGATTTGCAGGCTGATCAACATCCCGCCCCTCCTGTGACCCACAGTGTATTCAGAGCCAGTGAGCAACGGACTTTCAAAAACTGTGTTAACGTGCGATACAGTAATTGTCTGCGTTAATTAATTAATGCGTTAACGTGCCCAGCCCTAGATATAAGTAAACATTTTATTATCAAACGTATACAATGAAACACAAAACACTGCTTGTACACACAATGGTATTTCATAAAATTGATAAAAATTGTATATAAAATTTGCTCTTATGTAAATGCATCTACAGTGGGAGAACAAGTATTTGATACACTGCTGATTTTGCAGGTTTTCCTACTTACAAAGCATGTAGAGGTCTGTAATTTTTTATCATAGGTACACTTCAACTGTGAGAGACGGAATCTAAAACAAAAATCCAGAAATTGATTTTTAAAAATTAATGTTCTCCCCACTGTGTTTTTATATGTCGCGCACACAGTAATATAACATGTTGTTATTATGGTCACTGTGAATCAGTATTGTAAAGAAAAGTAGTTTCATATTTGTGCGAGTTGGCTTTTATTCACTTTGCAACACCAGACCTGATGCTCCAGTACGGCTTTCTCATCCGGTTGTTGGTCATGTTAATAGTAAGAGAGCTTCACGTTTGTTTTCTCCTCTCTTCTTGTAGTGTTTGCCTCCATTTGAGAGTTTCTCTCAGGGTCCCACCCTGCAGTTCACCCTGCGCTGGACCAGCAACTCCTCTGATCGCTCCACCGCCCCCGTGGCTAAACCTCTGGCCACCCGCAACTCTGAGACCAACCAGGACACCAGACCCAGCACCCCGAGAGCCACACACACACTCGGTGAGCAAGAAATTAGATTTTTCATGTGGCAAAAAAGGTTTGTTTGCTTTTTAAACGTGAGTATGGTGTATTTCTCCTCTGTGCTGCAGCTGTTAAAGAATCCATAAATGCTGACGTGCAAACCAGAAGAGAACAAATATCAGCTGATCTGCGACAGAAACTACGCATCTTCTACCAGGTCAGTCTCACCTGTTACTGCATCTGCACCAGGGCTGCAACTAACATTTTACCTGTGTGAAAGCTTTGAACTCCTTTTTTCATTTTCACCTTTTACAACAACCACGAATGCCTTCGAGGAGAGACTGTCTGAAAGTAAATACCATACTTTTGAGATAATACTCAGACGCGTAACTTTTGGAGAGATACTTTGTAGAAGCACAATGAGGCCTGTAGATTCAAGATGGACTTGAAGTGGAAGTAAGAATATGAGGGGCTGTTTATTAGCTTGTTAGCATGATCATATCTCACTGTAAAGTTTTGTTTTATTCTGATTTGACTTATTACAGCTGATGAAGACTTTGTCTCTGCACAGCGTTCATTCAGCCAGAACAGCAGGGATCAAACCCCACAGATCTCTTTATGACGGTCTCAATCTCGCTGTCTCTTATTTGTCTATCCAGTTCCAGTACAACCACAACACGCGGCAGCAGACGGAGGCCAGAGACGACCTCCACTGTCCCTGGTGTACCCTCAACTGCAGGAAGCTCTACAGTCTGATTAAACACCTCAAACTGTCTCACTCCCGCTTCATCTTCAACTACGTGGTGAGACGGACTCACACTGTCTTTGTGCAGAGAGAGAGAGAGAGAGAGAGAGAGAGAGAGAGGCTGGAAACCAGAGTGTCCTGATAAATTACAAAAAGTGAAACTACTTCTTTTGTTTGTTTGTTTTTAAACAAATAGCGCTGAGTGTAAAATTACTCAGGACTTTGAAAATTCTCTGAACAAAGACACAGTTGAAAATGAAATGGGTGAATACAAATACTTTTTTTTCACTTGAAATATTTAATTTTCAAAGATTTTGTCCCAATAGAGTGATTGTCAGCATTTCTTATCATCTCACCCCGATCATCACTTTTTCTTCATCACACGTGTGTTCAGATATTATAATTTTTTATAAATTAAAATTAAATTAAATTCGTATCTCTCCTGATCTTTGGCAGCCCCATCCTAAAGGAGCGAAGATCGAGGTCTCCATCAACGAGAGTTATGATGGTTCATATGCAGGAAACCCTCAGGACATCCACAACCAGCCGGGCTTCGCTTTCAGCAGGAACGGCCCGGTTAAGAGGACCTCTGTCACCCACATTCTCACCTGCAGGTACCGCTGAAATATTCCCTTTCACTGTTCAGCTTTTCAACAGCTGAATTTCCTGTCAGGGTGCCAAGAATTCCTGAGCGTAGTGAACACATCACGGTTGATCCAATATCTGTGAATATTAAATATTGTGTTTGAATGTCTTTTTTAATACGTCTTCAAAATAATTAATGTTTTCTTTTCAGACCCAAGAGGACGAAGGCGAGTCTGTCCGAGTTTCTGGAGTCGGAGGACGGCGATCGGGAGCAGCAGAGGACGCTCATCAGCGGACACAACCGCCTCTACTTCCACAGCGACAGCTGCGTGCCGCTACGGCCTCAGGAGATGGAAGCGGACAGCGAGGACGAGAGGGACCCCGACTGGCTCAAAGAGAATACCGTCAAGGTTAGTTTACAGCTGAGCGAACAGGGCCTCTCTGCAGATTTCACGCACGGCGTCTACTCTACTTGTTGTCACACTGTCGCACTGATGTCAGCAGTATTAAATCTCTGGAGTAACTGAAAACAGGTCAGCTGATCACATTTGTTCAGTCGATGACGTTTGCAGCATTAGAAGCAGTCATGTTGTGTCGCTGTAGCTAAAGCTGTTTTGTTCCCCCATTGTTGTAGCTTAAGTTGACTTTAGAAACCAACGGATCCTGTCTGACTTCTCTGCTCTCACTGCAGCAAATCGAGGAGTTCACCGACGTCAACGAGGGGGAGAAGGAGATCATGAAGCTGTGGAACCTCCACGTCATGAAGCATGGGTGTGTATGGCTCTGAAGGGATTTTATTGAATCCATTATCATGTTTGTCTTCTAACACTTTCAAGTACCTAAATACTAAAATAACTGAAAGTCAAAGATGGCTATCCACTTTTCTTGGCGTCGCACGAAAATAATGAATGAGGAGCAGAATATAAGTGTTAATGAAAGGAGTTAACAGCAGTAGTCGACCGTACATCACCAGCTTCTGACTCCAAATACTGAAGGTTTTGATCCACAGCTTGATCACAAACAATCTTTGTCTGAATACAGACACCAGCTGCAGAGAACACACATGAACCAGAGCACACAAACTTTAAATTTGACACTCCTACGCCGCTCTGCCTCTACGCCTGCTCGTCTCAGCCTGACAGCTCTGCCTCATAACGACACCCACGACCAAATTTACCACAAATAACCAACTATTGAGCTTGTCTGAACATTATTGAGTTACGCAGTGACGTGGTCATCAGACAAGTTAAACTGACTACCTTTTTTACGTTAGTCAACTTTTATGACTGCGTTCATCGTCATCTCCATGGACACGGTGAATAAACAAGGCTGCACAAAACATTTAATGATCATCTTTTTTCAATTACTTTTTGTTCTTATTTATAAATGTTATTATATTCTTGAAATAGACAAAAAGAATATGGGGAACAATAAGACAATATTGTTTGTTCCGTATGTTAAGGGAAAATAATACAAGTACAAGTAGCATCGGTTAGTTTACTTCCTCTTTGGGCAGATATGTTTGGAAGTGAAACGTCGTCAACTTTCTGCGTAGGAGTGTGGGCAAAACTATTTTAAGCGTCTAGTTATTTGTCTGAAAACTGGACATTTTGTAATGGAGGATGTGAAGGAAGCCTGGTCTCTTCTGTGCATGTAAACGCATTAAATGATGCTAAAACATTTTGCTTGCGTTCATCATGTTGACTCTTTTGTCCTCTCCTCAGCTTTATAGCGGACAATCAGATGAACAAGGCCTGCCTGCTGTTTGCCGAAAACCACGCCGCCCACATCGTCAAACACAAGCTGTATCGCAACTTCCTGCTGCACCTGATCAGCATGCACGACTTCAACCTGGTCAGCACGCTGACCATCGACCAGGCCATGGCCCGGATCCGCTTCATCAAGAGCCAGGCCGCACAGAGAGGCAAGGACGATGAGGAGGAGGAGGAGGAGGAAGAAGAAGAGGACTGGGAGACGGCTGTGGAGTCCCAACCAGAGCTGGATCCAGATCCCGATCTTGATCCATCTGAGTATAAACCCTGTAGTGATGAGACTAGTAACGGCTGCCTGGAGAATGGAAACCAGCTGCAGGAGGAGGAGGAGGAGGCGGGTGGAGGAACTGTGACGGAGAGGTCGACCACCAAGCAGAAACTCTCCGGTTCTGTTATAAACTGACTGCTCAATCGGAGAATCACAAAGATAGTTTTTTCATTTACATCAGGTAGACCCTTCAGAGGGGTTTATCATTTCATTACTTGGGGAAGGTGAGGAGTTTCGGAAAACGTGAAGCTAAGAATCACCATTATTTTCTTGTGTCCTCACAGAAACCGTAGATGTAACAACCGGGTTTTAGTTCATAATCAATTTCCTGGCCTGTGAGGAGCCACGGCGGCCGCATCCTTTTCCTTTTTAATAACCAGCCCACAAAGTTTATTAACGACGGAACAAGCACAAGACACATTCACCCTTTAGTTTGCATTTGTAGGGACCCATTTTGTAGAGTTAAAAGATAAAGCTGGCGATATTCTGTATTTTACTTATTGTCAAAAAAATCCCCATTAGATCAAAACTAATCATGTCTCTTACTTACCAAATCTTTAAAAAAAAACAACTAGAAAGGCTCAGGAATTTCCTGAAACAGCTGCTCACTGTAGTTTTTATAACCAAACAGGAGGAAATTGGGCATTTGTTGGGGTCTATTTTCAGCGGCGGATGAATCCACATGCAGCGCTCTAATGAGTATTGGGGACTGAGTCAGATTAAACTGAAGTGTTTAAGCTCTACGGCTCAGAGGAAGAAGAGACATCAGGCTGTGAGAAACACAGGACTTGTTTGTAGAACAGTGTTTTTTTGGTCTTTTCATGGGATTTGATGACAACTCTATGTAGAATATGACCAGACTTTCTCCTTTTTGGCAAGCGTTTGCAAAAAAAAGTTTGATATCTGCTTTTACATCTTTCTGCAGCTGTTTTGACAGACTCTTCTGACATCAGCCCAACACGTTACTCGGTGTTTGTTCACCCACGCAATTGTATTCTCTGGTGCTCTCTTATATTCATCTACGTTTTCAAACCTGCCTCTGCTCGCCCTCATATGTTCGATCCGTGTTGTGCTCGCTCCATCGTTCAGGAAACAAACCTCAGATGGGATCGTGTCTTTCGTCTTCCTCCGTGTGAAGCACCAATCAGTGTGACCCTGCAGCCGCACTCCGCTCCACCAAAGGTTTTACTGAGTTTAACGGTTACGGTTAATGGTCTCAGATGTCTATCAGGTCTCGGATCGAGTGTCTAGTTGCCAGGTGATCAGGACTTTTACTGGTTGTCCGCGTGTATAATCGGGTCTCTAAGACTCTGATCAGGTCTTTCTACAACCTCTGTACCTGTACAGAACCTCAACAGCTCTGCTGCGGCACACGCTCTTATCTTATCCATCTGATCAACAGTATATATATATTGATATTTATTATATTGTTCACTTTTTTTAAGGACTTGAGTTGAATACAAACCCACTCGCACAGCTGTGATCAGATGTTATGCATATCACAGTACTACATTCCTGTTTGAGGGCTCAGACTGAGTTTCTAACACTGTTGAAACACAGAGAAATCAAATGTATTCACTAAAACTCAGAACTAGGACACTTCCAGTGCAGTTTCTGCTGCCGGTGCTATATCTTTTTACTCCTCAGAAACACATTTGGAAGCGTCTCGGCTCCTTTTTACACTTACAGCGATTTCTACTGCCAGCATTCAGACGCCAAGATGCATTACGGACTTGTTTTCCTCCAGGACAACAAAACTGTGTCGCATTTGATGCGCCGCCGCCTCAGAAAAACACAATTCAAGGCCCAATGCGGTGCGAAGGGATGCTGAATTGCAAAGTTTGGATGCAACACGAGCATGTCCTTTTGTGAAGTCGGTCTTTGTGCGTTAGTCGCTCCTTTCGTTTTGTCTCTGTGAGGGTGAAGTCGAGAAGCGTAGATGGTCGAATTCCTGGAGAAGATGCAGGTTGAGTCCTCACGAAGCCACGCTCGTGCCGAAGCGGTTATTCGACTTGTCTAAACCGACTGTTTTTCCAGGTGCTGGTTCCAGTTTCTGTAACGTGAGAAATTAATGCTTTTTTTTCAAATCATGTCAGAATACTTTTAGGAGTTTTGGACCTTTGGTTACAACAAGTGCGACGGGAACTGCCGATCTGCATTTTGCTTTAATTTATCGTCTATATGATTAGTTGACAAAATAATTCATTAAAATGAAAAGTTGCTGCCCACCTTCAGAGGAGGCAGAGCTGGAAACAGGTGAAAGTCATCAACATGAACTGAAACTGAGCAATTTCTCCTCTATTTTATTAATTTCTCTGCTGTTTTTTGGTTTATTTTCCCTCCTGTTGCAGCCCCTGCCGTTATGTACATAAGACTCTGTAATAAATTAGCTTTGGAATGTGGATTTGTGGAAACCTGAAACCACCCGGGAAGTTTTGTCATTTTAATTTGCAGACCATAGGGGATGGATTTGCTCTTGTTTTTGTCTCCTTTGAAAATGCTTTATGTAAAAAAAAACAAAACACAAAAAACAAAGACTCAGGCTGAATCTCTGATCTCGCCATCTGACCCGCTGTCACTACCTGTAAGCGATCTCAAGTCTCAGTGAGACAAAAAAGCACAATGTCCAGATGCTACCAACCATTGATGCACCAACGCAGGAACTGATGCAGAGATATTTTGAGGTTTGATGGGATTTATTTGTAACTTCTCATGTTGTGATCTTTTAAAAAGCTTTACATCAGTCAGAAGTGTGATGGTGACTAATCCAGCGGGCTGTGGACGTGACAGCTCTGAGCGACTTTCTGTTTCTGACGGAGCCCGCTGTTGGTTTAGTTTGTTTTTTTTTGTTTCATTCACACAGACCAGCAGCGTTTTGCACAAGATGGGAGGAGCCATGTCAAGAAAAACTTTTCTTCAACAGTTTCTGTAAACCAGCTTGACATTGTGAACTTTTAAGTTGAGTCAGAGTGTTTTTCTATTAAAAGAACAAATTTGTACTATTGTTGCCCATGTGGTCCATTTCTTTGACTCGTACGTGTGCACACAACACAAAAGGTGACCTTATTAAAGCAGAAATGCCACAGAATGAGTGACTGCTCAACTCAACACACCAAAAATCACATAATCTCACCAAACACATGGCAAAGTTTCATCTTCTTCCAGTCTGACAGAACCTCACAGCGCACATGTCTTTAAAGGTTTACTTTGAAAATGTTTTAAGAAACTAATCAAATTAATTGGTTTTACTGGCACAGCCACATTCACACACAGTATTGCTGAAACACTTTATGAATACTACATCTCATGTTCACCTTTTTGTAAAATGTTTTTATTTTACTTTTATTTCATTTGTAAAACTTAGCAATAATAAGACAAGACGGTATAAACATAATGTAATCAGTCTCCTGTCTGCGTTGATGTTTGACCTGCAGCCAGTTACTTTCCAAACTTCCAAATATTCAAACTACAACGACTAAACTGAAGCTTAACAAAATGTATGTTTGTTCTATTGTAGTATAATTTGAGAAACTCTTACTTATAAACTCTTCATTCCTCAGCGGGAAAATATATAAATATTCTTTAGAGGTTTCCATAAGGACATTAACTTGATATGATTCGAAACGAAATATTTAGCTATTTTTTAGGAATTAGGAACAGAAACTTTTTGAGAGTTAACGTGTTAACGTAACGGGAAAACCAAACAGATGTGAAGTAAATCAATCGAATGTACACCGATCAGCCATTACATTATGACCACCTACTGGTCATGATGAAGGTCTCCGTTTTGCCGCCAAAACAGCCCTGGCCTTCGCTCCTCATGTGCATCAGTGATCCTTGGATGCCTATGACCCTGTCACTGGTTCGCCACTTTTCCTTCTTTGGACCTCTTTACTGACCCCTGCAGACAGTTTCAGAGATGCACTTAGGAAGCAACACTGATTGACAATCAATTTCACATGCTGTTGTGCAAATGGAATAGACAACAGGTGGAAATTATAGGCAATTAGCAAGACACCCCCAATAAAGGAGTGGTTCTGCAGGACCACTTCTCAGTTCCTATGCTTCCTGGCTGATGTTTTGGTCACTTTTGAATGCTGGCGGTGCAGGAGGAGCACTGCCAGAGCCCTGCAAAATGACCTCCAGCAGGCCACAAATGTGCATGTGTCTGCTCAAACGGTCAGAAACTGACTCCATGAGGGTGGTATGAGGGCCTGACGTCCACAGGTGGGGGTTGTGCTTACAGCCCAACACCGTGCAGGATGTTTGGCATTTGCCAGAGAACAAGATTGGAGAGTTTGTGCTCTTCACAGATGAAAGCAGGTTCACACTGAGCACATGTGACAGACGTGACAGAGTCTGGAGACGCCGTGGAGAACGTTCTGCTGCCTGCAACATCCTCCAGCGTGACCGGTTTGGTGGTGGGTCAGTAATGGTGTAGGGTGGCATTTCTTTGGGGGGCCGCACAGCCCTCCATGTGCTCGCCAGAGGTAGCCTGACTGCCATTAGGTACCAAGATGAGATCCTCAGACCCCTTGTGAGACCATATGCTGGTGCGGTTGGCCCTGGGTTCCTCCTAATGCAACACAATGCTAGACCTCACGTGGCTGGAGTGTGTCAGCAGTTCCTGCAAGAGGAAGGCATTGATGCTATGGACGGCCCGCCTGTTCCCCAGACCTGAATCCAATTGAGCACATCTGGGACATCATGTCTCGCTGCATCCACCAACGCCACGTTGCACCACAGACTGTCCAGGAGTTGGCGGATGCTTTAGTCCAGGTCTGGGAGGAGATCCCTCAGGAGACCATCCGCCACCTCATCAGGAGCATGCCCAGGCGTTGTAGGGAGGTCATACAGGCACGTGGAGGCCACACACACTACTGAGCCTCATTTTGACTTGTTTTAAGGACATTACATCAAAGTTGGATCGGCCTGTAGTTTGGTTTTCCACTTTGATTTTGAGTGTGACTCCAAATCCAGACCGGGGTTGATAAATTTGATTTCCATTGATAATTTTGTTTTTTTGTCGTCAGCACATTCAACTATGTAAAGAAAGGAGTATTTAGACTATTTCATTAATTCAGATCTAGGATGTTATCTTAGTGTTCCCTTTATTTATTTTTTTTTAGCAGTGTATTACCAACTTTAAATGTTATTCCCACTGTAGAATGTGGAAATAATTTTGAAAATATTGTCAGAAAATTTTAGTCTCTGTATTGACACTACTTTGATTAATTTTAATAAAAAAAAAAACATGAAATCCTTTCTCATGATAATAATGATAAATACTGTCGCTGTATACTTTAATTTCACAGGTAAGGATACCTTCATGTAGTGCTGTTAACCTAGCAAGTGCGCCCGGTGGTTACAGAAAGAAACTGCAACACATAAATTTAATCAAACTATTATATTTTCAAAGAACTGTGACAAAAGTGAGACGAAGACAAACGAACAAACACATTCATTGTTCTTGAACTGTCACAATTAAATCACATTCTTCAGAGGGAAAAATACAGACACCACATGACCACTGCGAACAAGACCCCATTTCATCACAAACTCATCACTTTAGTTTGACCTTTTATTGAACAAAATATCAAGGATGACAGCTGTGAGAACAAATGCAATGCGGCACTTTGACCTGCAGGATTCACTGTTTTGTTTTGTTTTTTCTTTCACTCCTTCAGGCAAGAAGAAGAAAGTCAGGTTGTGTTCACTGGTTTCAGGGAATCTGTACCATCAACTGAAACCATCCAAGGTTCCACTGTCCTCCACAAAGACACTGACCTCAGATCAGCTGAAAAACAAGTAAAACGTCTCTGAGGAACGTTGTTAAAAGAGCTGAAGTAGACGTGCTGGTTGGTTGAAATGGAGCTGATTTTTAAAGTGAAACGCGTCCCATGACAGCTTCCTGTGTTATCAACAGCAGTCCACTGTGTGTGCAGGGAAAAACACAAGAAATGTTTATTCTCAGTAGGAGAAACAAAATGTTGTGAAAACCCCACAGAAAGACAGAATGCTTTCACCCAGACCTCGCAAGGGCGGACATGTTGTACAGACATTAAGCACGGCCGGAGTGGATTCACAAAATATTTTTCAAATAACTGACAATGTTGCATAAAACTTGACAGCAGACAAATAAATTCATGAAAGTAACATGGTGACTGCCGTAATAGAACATCGTGATGTTACCAGAGTTTGAAATGCTCTTGGGATTTTTCCAAAAAAGTACATTGTGTGTTGCCAAAACAAAAGTACAACAGCTTTGTCATTGAAGGAACAGACATTTTGGGTTATACGGTTACATTTGCTTTCTTGCTGAAAGTGAGGTGTGAAGATTTGACACCACTCTCACGTCATAAAAAAACTGGAGGCAGGAGGGAAACGGCACGTTACACTTCGGATCTTGTTTGTTTCATTCGTACAAAATAAAAATACTGTAGAAGTTTACAATCTGGAATTTTTTGTTGGTGACCGGCAGCCGGGTGCAGTGACGCCACAAAACATCTAAGCAGAAGAGGATCTTGAGAACAGAACAAGTATCACAAGTAATGTTCCTCTCAGTGTCTTTGTTGGCTAACTGCAGAAGCGATTTGTCAATTACTCGACTATTTTGATGATTGATTAATGAAAATAAGAACATTTTTTAAGTAAAAATGCCAAATATTCTCTGGGTCCAGCTCCTCAGATGTGAGGAATTGTTGCTTTTCTGTTTAATCTAGAACATATTTGTATTTTTGACCATTTGATGGACAAAACGAGACATTTCCGACATGTTATAGGTGTACCTGCTAGATTTTATCCTCATTATCGCAGCCCTAATGGCAACTTTTTGAAAGTGCTCATAGAATTAACTCAATAGTTGGACGGCAACATCACATCACAGAAGCTAAGAACGGACTTCTTGTTTAAAAATAACCGACTGAACTTCTCATTTAGATATAAACAGTTTTTCTTTTACTCTACAGGACCCACAAAAGTATTTGAAGACCAAGGGAGGAAATGAGACTGACTTCCTGTCTGATTTGAAGCTCCACGTTATCAAAGCCTTGTTTTTCTGTTTTTCTCAGGTCAAACATATATATTTATTTTTTTTCCAATATTTTTATTAATTCTGTTAACTCACATTAATCCCACTCTTAATAACAGCAGCCATCATGCATTGATAAGTCAGACTGTGTAACTGGACTGAACGAGGCTCATTAGTTCCTCACAGATTAATCAATAACTATCATGTAGTTAACATGCTCTTGAAAATCATTTTAGGATTGTCAATGCAAAAGTAATTCAAAAGTAACAGTTGATTATTTTAAAGGCGAAAGTTCAGCCAAAAACAAAGTTCATGTCTTCGGCCGGGAGCTCCGTCTGTCCCGTCAGAGGGAGCTAAAAAAAAAGTCGAAAGCTACCTGCAGACAGTAAAATAGTTTTAGTTATATCAAGATTTGGGTTTGAGATAACATTGACTTAACAAGCGGGAGCTTTCATCCACACGTTTTTAGTCAAACTACTATTTTTAATATCAAGAATGAATCTTTAAGCTCAAGATTTAGTTTAGATAAAGATTCAATTGTGACATTAACTCAACGTACGTGATTATCATCTCTGGATAAGTCTTCCCTCAGCATCTCGGACGATCACCTCGAGATCTGAGTATATCTGGTTACAATATTAAACATTAGAAAGTCATGATAGTAAGAAATCCCTTTGTTATGTTGAGATAATGACATGTTTATTTTAAAGACAACAGGCTATGGGGGGCCGAGATTTCCTGTGTCATTACATTTGAAGAGACATTTCTTTGCCGTCTTCAGAGTTTCAGGGGTTACAAGCAGCACAAAGCTTCTACCAGCGTTTTCATATTAAAAGCTGCAGAGATTCTGGCATTTTTCAGCCTCCGCTGTGCTTCCCGACAATCAGACTCATCAGATACTTTTTCTTCCAAAGATTTCTCCAGCGTCTGACCGGCTCAGAGGTCGGGAGAGTCGCAAGCCTGTGAGCAAGCTTCAACTAACGAAAGTACGAAGGCATGAAAAATAAAAAAAATATTACTATGTTCGTGTACTGTGTTTTTGGTGACCTGTTCCTTTAAATGTCTGACGAAGTTTAGGAGGCGAAGAAACATACAAGACATCTTGTGACTTTCACAGTGACGGATTATTTGTTAGGCTAAACAAGACAAGCAGGTTCAACAATTTACTCCTTTAAAGAGGCTGATTGTAACGCGCCCGTCTTTGCTTTCCTGCTGCTCCCAAAAAAAAAAAAAAGATAACAACTTATCTATCATTGTGTGTCCTGACAGGTTGTGTACTACAGCTAAATTAAGACGATGCATAGATCAACAGCCAACTACAACTCTTCACCACAGCGAGGAAGACGGCAAATAAAAACGTTTAAAAAAGCTGTAAACAATGGCCAACCTTGTAAGAAGGCCCGAGGATCCAACTACACTAAAAGCCAAGAAGCTGTGCAGAACACAAATATCAGCCCTCTAACGTGGCTCCCTGAAGACGAGCAGGATCACTGTTGCAGCCAGTTTCTGCTGGAGGAGGTCCACACTGACAGGGTTTACACAAAGAGTCTGGAAACACAAGGATCAATCACATTTCCTCCCGGAGGGGCTCCCAGTCACAGTCAGTGCGTTTACATGCACACGAGAAAAACAATCTGCTCAGAGAAATCAGGTTACAGAGAAAGGAAATTGCTTTGCACAAACTAAAAGCTTCAAATGGGCGTTTCTTCGCACTACTCTGTGGTCACAGCGCGACTTCACCCTCTCTGAGGTCTGGTTAGAAACCCAGATATTAAAAAGCTTTTTCACCAGCAGAAATCTATTCTCTGATTACACAAACCAGATTTGTTCTACAACAGAGCCGCCAGTAACCCAGCTACTTATCGTAAGTGCATGTAAACACACTGAATCCGTGCCTCTCAAAGAAACAAGCTGAATTAGCAGAAGTAAAACTGATAAATGCAACACATCAGGTTTGTTTTTTGTGTATGTAGTCTTCATATGAACTACAGTTTTAACAAGTTCAAGCTCTTCTCCTAACAGAAATTAAACTTTAGCTTTGGCTCAAAGGTTACGGGGCCTGCAGGACAGAAGAGTCTGCTGTGTTTTACAAAGTTTTACTTCTGCTTGAGCCTTCCAGTGTGAGCTCGCAGCTGTTGCTTTGTCACTGTGGTCTGGTCCCAGACGTGTCGCCCTGTAAGTGGCTCAGGTGTGAGAGGAAAAAACGACAGAAGAGGAAAAACTTAAGCTGGCCGAGCTCCTAAACTCCAGCAGATTAAAACGGTCAATTTTTGCGTCACTCGTTTTAAAGTTGAGCGCTCTTAAAACACGAGCACTTTCCAGCCGGAGTGGACGAAAGAGCAGCCAAAGAAGAGGCAGTCCACCGCCTGGTCCACCAGCCAGTCAAACACCACCTCCCGATTCCCCGAGCCGATGGTCACCCTCAGCTTGAAGTTGCCGCCCTCGCTCAGGTTGTTGTTGCTGATGGGAAACAGGTTCACCACCTCCATGTCAAAGGTCACAGCGGAGCCCAGGGTGATGGCGGGCAGCTGGTTGGTCATCTCTTTACCGTTGACAAATACAGCACCTGAACATCGACACACAACCGTTACATCACTTCATTTAATAGTTTTACTGACCTTTATAACACCAGCAGTCAATTAACCACTCATATCCTTTAATTAATATAAAATCTCAAAGTGTAAACTACAAACTCTTGTTAAAGTGTTGAGTTTTAAAGCAAAACAAAACTCACTGTGTGAGTCAAACAAAAATGGTGAATGCATTTCCTTCCTCATAAAACATTTGCAAAGTCAAACATGCGTGTTCACTAGCCAGTAGTCTTCACCTCCCCGGCCTTTGCTGGCGCATTTGCACATTTCTGGTGACATTGTCACCTCTAGATCAGTGGAATAGGGACCAAAGCCCCTAGCAGGAAGTGCATGCACGAGCCCACAGGTGTTGCCACCTCCTCTGAGCAGGTGTACGTCGCTCCTGATAAAATGTTGCCATGTTGGTAAAATGGTGGAGACTAATTTAACAGAGCCAGAGAAGATTTTCAGAATACATCCCTGTCCATTAATGATGACACTGACATACACACTTGGTGCTGTGCAGTGGTGGATGGAGTATTCACATCCTTCACTTAAGTGTTACAAGTACTGCATTGGAAATGTTACTTAAGTAAACGCGTGTAGGTATTAAAGGACTAAAAGTATAAGCACTGTGTTAATTTTGTCAGCCATTTTAAAATTTAGTCTTAGTCCTGTGTCAAATGTCCTTGTTAGTTTTTGTCATATTTAGTCCACTGCATACTATATTTTTAGTCAACTTTTAGTCTGGGTGTTGTCTGATTTTAGTCAAAAGAAAATCTTTTTTAGTCATCATTTTAGTCTTTTCTAACTCATTAGTATAATTTACATCAATTCCCAGGTGGTTAGCATTCACAGCACAGGAAGAAAAAAATACTCTACGCTGAATCAACACACTGTTTGAGTGAAAATTTAGAGGTAGAAAATATTTTTAATTTATTACAAAAAAACTGATAATTACATTTTAGTCTCGTCATTTTGCATGTTAACATAGTCACAGTCGGCGTCTAAGGACATTGTTGCCGTCTCGTCTTCGCCTCGTTTTAATCACGGGGAAAAAAAGGTCGTTGACGAATATATTTCGTTTAGTTTCGTCTGACGAAAACGAGTATTTTGTATCTGACTGCAGTTAATGATGTTTGTCATTATGGATTAATCTGCTGATTAAATTCACCATCAATCAATTTGAAAACATCATAAAATTGTGAGAAATGTTTTTACAATTGCCCAGAGCGTAGAAAGTAAAAGTAGAACAGCGGCATGAAAAGAAAATACTCGAGTACCACAGATTTGTACTTAAGTACAGTACTTGAGTAAATGTACTTAGTTACCTTCCACCATTGGTGCTGTACAGTTAATTAGATTAAATGAGGGTGATTTTATGCAGCCTTCACTTAAGATAGCAATGACTGCTAGCAAAGCTCAGCGGCTGACTTCAGCAAACGCCTTTTGTTTGTGTTGTTATTATTCATGACCATATTTATGGGCGATACAGCCATCCTCGTCTCGCTAGAAAACTTATATTACTTTCTCCTCAATAAACAGCTTATTATAAGTCTCTTAAAATCCGTCACTGCACTGCGTAAAGTAAACCTGCAACAAGCTTTTGATCGACTTACTAAAGTTGTAGTGAAAGTACTGAACAATGCTACATGTGAGGTACGAAAGTGTTTACATGTAAACTTAATATTTAACTAAGGTACAGCTGGATTTTCACTTGCTGTGAATGATTATCACTGCTTTATCCCTGAAAAGATAAAATGACAATGTGTCGGCGTACCATTGGTGGAAATGCAGACGGCCTGGTCTCTCTGAAGTGACTCTGCCCCACTCTGGTTGTCCACGCACACGCCCAGACAGTCACCCCGATCCATTGGACCTGCTGCAGCGATCCTACACACACACAGTTAGAAACGCCAGTTAGATTACCATAAACTATTTACATAAAAGAATCCAGGACAAAAGAAAAGAGTTTACACGTCTATAATCCAAAGGTAGAGATAAATTCAACATAACTGGTATAATCTGCCCGTTGCCAGGCGTACATAAATCAGTATCTGAGTGGGTCAGTGTTGTTTCTTTATGTGTGTGTGTGTGTGTGTTTGTACTTGAAGGTCAGTGTCTGGCCACAGAAGTAGGTGGGTGCGTTGGAGTAGAGGACGGAGCAGCGGGTTTGGGAGGAGTCATTGCGCAGAGCGATGTTTCTCCTGCTGCTCAGGATGTAGCCCTCGGTGCCCGGACACCACTCTGGATGATGAGAGACCAGAAACACACACAGAGCTTATTAACACACGTAGTTTAAGGGAGTTATATTGTTGATAATAAAACTCTCTGGGTGAGTCTGAAGGACGCACACATCTGTCTGCTTACAGATGTGACAGACACAGAGACAGATGAAAGGATCAGGGGTCAGTGGGTTCGTATTTCTAATCTGCAGCAATTAAGGGTTTCAGAATTATATACTGTAAAGATTTAAGAGAGGTGCTGGCACATGTTGCCCCCATGATGATACTGTCTGCTATTCCCCACCAAACCAGATGGAAAATTAAATTAAAGATTGGTCAGTGGCTTGGATGGGTCGATCCACAAAGATTTTCGATGACGATAATATTTCCGCCACTCTAGCGCCATTTCCACCCCATAAACAAGTTATAGTGCAGACCTCTTAGGAAGAAGGAGATACAAACACACACTCCTGTCTACATCAGCGGTGCTGAGCTGGAGCAGCTGAACAGTTTCAAGTTCCTGTGAATCAGCCTCACAGAGAACCTGACGCGGTCGTCTCACATCTCCACGGTGGTGAAGAAAGCTCAGAAACAACGGTATTTCTTGAGGAAGCTTAAGGAGGTCAAATTGACCCTTCGCTAAGCCACGCCCCAAATACACAGCTGGCCAATCACAGCGCAGTATATGACTCACTCTAACTGAGGTCCGACACTTTCATGGCTGCGCTCCATTGACTCTAATGCAAAAAGAGACGTTTTCTAGCTTTTTTTGGCTGTAATTTTCCAAGATCTGGTCAAATCTGTTTCTGCAGCACTTGTAATAATTGTAGTCGCTACCCGAAGAGGTTGAAAGGAGAAGTACAATTTATTCTCATTCTAAAACCTAAAATAAATCCAGGAAAAATGTCGGCTGTGGGTTGTTCCTAATGTGATGTTAGTTAGCTAACGCTAGCTAACTTCCTACTGTACGTAACGTAATAAAGCCCTACTGTTCTGCTTTTTAACGATTGTAATAATGAATTGAGGCCGACCCAGTTTTACAGGAACAGTGTTGATCGTTCATGTCATTGTGTTTTGTCTCAGTTGTTGGGGATCTTTCATTTTTTTCACGTTTGACAGCCTTCAAATCTATAACGCAACTGCAAAACTGTCTGCTTCTTTCTGAAAGCGCTTTTTCCAACTAATTGTACAATATTTCTCCAGGGAGTGCAGTAATAGACAGTGGCAGCGCCAACAGTTTGTCGGACTTAGCAACAGTAACTAAGGGGGCTTAGCGAAGGGTCAATTCCTGCGCCAAGTTCTTGTCAGCTTTTACAGAGGAGCCATAGAAAACATGTAGACTGGAAACATCACTAACTGGCGTAGGATGTGCACGGCCCAGGACCAGGCTCTGCAGCGGGACGATTAAAACTGGTACCCGTCTCCCGAGCGTCAGTGATACTGGTGAGGTGTGGTGCCTAAGCAGAGCCCAAAGGATACTAAAGGACAGTACCCACCCAGCCACAGCCTGTTCACCCTGCTGCCTTCTGGGAAGAGATTTAGAAGTTTCTGCTGCCGCATCACCAGACTGCTGAGCAGCTTCCCCCCCCAAAGCTATCAGACTCTTAAACTCAAATTCATCCTCTCACTGCTCCATTGATTATAGTTTATTTCTGTTTATCATTTTTCATAATTTATTCTGTATTAAAGAGGTGGTATTATGTTTTTTGGCTTTTTCCCCTCTCCTTTATTGAGTTACATACCTTTTTTGTGCATGTAACAGGTTTGCAAAGTAAAAAAGCCCCAAGGGAGTTCCCATCTCCCACAGAAAACTCTGCTCTGAGCTGACTGAAAACAGCTTGTTTGTAGTCCAGCCTTTACTTCCCTTTCTTGTGACGTCACAATGAAAATGCGTGTCATAATGCTCGCTGATCGGCTATTCCGACACGCCCTCAAAAACACCGGGGGGAAAAACAGTGAGCTGCAGCACACAGCTCTCATCTCCCTTCCAAACACTAGCTACCCTCCAGCAGTCAGTGGACATGAAGTTGTTCCTGTGATGTAGAGGCAGAGCTCAGTTAAAACTTTATGGATGAAAGATACTTTTGTTACACATTAATAACTCACCACTCTGAAACTCTCGCTCCAGGCTACATGTTGCCGAGCTGGTCGTCAACATGTAGCCTACAGCTGAATCTAAGCTGTTTACCGGCTTCTCGCTGACCCGCCCTTCTCTGCTTCTGATTGGCTAGTAGTCCTTAACTAGGAATTGCACATGTGCAACTCCCAACAAAGATCATGTAGAGGCAAGATGTATCACTCCACAGCTAAAACGAAGCCTTCAACACAGGGTGAAAAGAGGAGCTGCAGCAATTTGCAGTATGACTAAAAATATGGTGTTTTTTTGAAAATGAAACCATGTAAACCTGTTCTGGTACAACCCCTAAATCAGATTTTGAACCTGAAAATGAGCATAACACCACCTCTTTAATGTAATATTGTCTGCTATGTAGCAGAAGGGAGTTAAAAACTCAATTTCACTCTATAACTTATATATTAGTTATATTGTGACAATAAACGTAGCTACCTAACTTCACGGGTCAGATAAGGCCGCTGAGTCTTCACCTACCATGTGGTGCGAGTGTGGTGTATCCTGTCTGCGGGATGCTCCAGGGGCTCCACTCTGTGCGACCCTCCCCGCGGGCGCAGGCCCTAAACAGATAGTCAACGTGAGGGTCGAGGTGGAGTACCAGGAACTCACAGTCCCGACCGATGTAGGCGTCCTCATACTGGCTCCCCCCGCTGCCAGACCGCCGGTACTGCAGCCGATAATCTGCTGCAGCAAAGTCCTCATCCACCTGATGCACACATGTGATAATCATTACAGTGTTTTACATTAACGTCACCATGTTAAGTATGTATGAGAGTATGTTTTCCGTTTCTGCCACTTCCCCTTAGCTGACCTTACACCAGCGGACCAGGATGCCGCCCGGTCTCTCCTGCAGCTCGTCGATCTGGACGGGCGGGTGGGAGGAGACGGAGCCGTGGCGGGACACCCGGTCCCTCAGCAGACCCAGCAGGGAGTCATCCAGCTGGGCTGAAACACACGGCACGTCCACCAGCGCTGGTACCTCTGGTAAACTGGAACACAAAGAACCAGTTACAGTTGAATAACATCACCCTGTTCATTTAAAACAACATGAAGTAGCAGAATCACTGTACAGGTTAGTCACCTGTGCTTTTATTGTTATTGATCATGGAATATTATTGCACACAGCAGATTTGTTTTGCTCCGTGGATGGAAACACTTGCAGTTACACAGGCTGTCTCTGTCCTACCTGTCCAGCTGGATGTGCATGGCCTTCTTGGTGAAACTGCCCAGTTGGTCCTCCTTCTCCCCAAGACCACAACGCAGAGCTGCCTCTCCTGGAGACGCAGAGACTATATTTTAACACATCTATGATCCGTTTGATTGGAAATGAGGGTAACATTTGGTCAGAGGTAGGGATGCTACAATTTACTTTTTCACTGTTGATGAATCAAAAATCATTTGGTCAAAAATATGTCTGCCGAAGTGCCAAAGTGACTTGTGAACATGTCTTGTTTTGCTCCTCCAAGAGTCCAAAACCCAAAGATTATATTTTATTATCACGTATAAACAGCAAAAAGCTGTGGCTAACAAGTGGAAAATAAGCATTCATTTGCTCCTTCCTTAAAAACCAAGAAAAAGTCGAACGGCAGACATGTAAACGTTGTATTTCAAAGGCCCACCTTCTCTCAGCAGCTCGTCAGCCTGGCCCACCCCGTGCTCAATGAGGCTCTGGCAGTCATCTAGCGGTTTGACGCTGTCTGCCTCGATGGCGTCCACCTCAGCCAGCAGAGCGGTCAAACGCTCCGTCAGCAGCCGACCTGCTGCCGCCTGCAGCTCCGCAAAGTGCCGCCGGAGAGCCTCGCGGGCCTGACCCGAGCTGCCTCGGACCTGTAGAACACAGAAAAGAGGAAAAATAAATAAATAAATAAATAAGGTACAAAAAATAAACGGTGAAGGTTTCTTTGAAACGAGTGTTGGCTGTTAAAAAGCATCTCCATTCTGCTTTACATTTTACAGTTTCAAACCTTGTACAACCACAGATAAATACTGCAGTAAGTCATTACTTCAGTACTAAAATAACTCTCGTTTTGTGTCAGTACACTGAATACAATGTTTAGCTGAGGGCTCTCGGGAAGGCGATACTAGCTTTTACAATGAAAGTTGGTACAGTCAGATTTCCTGTTCACAAAAAAATCAAGGAAGCCATGTAGACAACGTGCTGTCACAATGTCACGATGGCTTATATTTGGACATTTTCAGCATTGAGAATCGAATATGTTGGAAAACAATCAAATAATTTATTTAGAAGAACCTTTTGAGACACATCCAAAAAGCTTATTTGTACATGTTTCACTTGGACAGACAACTAGGGGCTCTGGCTAGTTAACATTTCAAAGAGAATACAGATCACCAATGGCAGCTCAGCAAATCTCATGAAAAGACCAGAATCAAAAACGCTGTTAAACGAGTGACAGAAACACTCACAGCACGTCAGACCGTTTGTTGCCTTTTCTAAGAGGTCAGCTACAGATGGAGTGGATGTGCAGGGACACAATTCAGCAGAACAGTGTCTGCAAACGGTGATTTTTTGCATCTATCTTGGACACATTAGAAAAGTGCTCTGTAATGGCTTCAAAAGTCTCTCTCTCTCACACACACACACACACACACACACAAAATAACTTATGTTGTGTGAGACTCCCTCCGCCCAATCCCAGCTGTTCCATCATATATTACATTATCATGGACTGAGTATGTGGTGGTGTTTCTGTCTCATAACCCGACTCTTTCCCACAGCAGGGATGGCTCATTCCCACATTAAAAGAATCCAGGAAACATTACACACCACACACACATCTCCTCCTCCATCCCCGTGGGGACATCTCATTGACATAATGCATTCCCGAGCCCCTTACTTTAACATTAACCATCACAACTACACGCTTAACCATAGCCCTAATTTTAACCTGAACCTTAAACCTATCATCTCTGCCCACGGTGACACGAGTCCCCATCAGTAAGTGTGCATCCAGGTTGAAGTCCCCACTGGGATATAAAAACATGAAACACACACACACACACAATGAGAGTGAGAAAGCAGATTGTGTGTGTGTGTGTGTGTGTGTGTGTGTGTGTGTGTGTGTGTGTGTGTGTGTGTGTGTGTGTGTGTGTGTGTGTGTGTGAAAACTCAGACAATGGTATCACTGCGGCATCTTGTCCTGGAAGAGGAGTCATCCAAACATTGGCCCGATGTCAGATCGTCCCCTCCTCTGACAAACGGTTTGATGGCGTCAGGTCGTATTTTTAGTTTGACTATTATTTTACAAATCCCAAAATATTGATCATCAGCTGTCTGTGTCGCACTGATAGTCATCAGGAAGTGATGCGTTGGCTCCAGTGGAAAACGTCCTGTGTCTGCTCAACGCACACTCACACACACGCACGCACACGCACGCACACATACAGTGTGCGTTTTCATTCTCATAGTCATACCGTCCGTACTTTATCAGTGCAGCAGTTGTCAATCGGCCTTCCGTTTCCTGCTATCTCTCTACTGCCCCTTCTGTACACTCATTGTGAAATGCTTGTGTGTGTGCTTGTGTGTGTGTGTGTGTGTGTGGGTGTGTGTGTGTGTGTGCGTGTGCGCTCTGCAAAGGGGAACTGAAACACGGCTTCTACCACTGATGGTAAACCAGTAAGCTTCCTGGCGAGCTACTTGTCACTGAGTCTGTGCTAGCACTGTCTGTGATATACTGCTTAGTAGTAGTAGTAGTAGTAGTAGTAGTAGTAGTAGCGGTGTTAGTGTATCCAAAACCTGATAAACTCTACAGTATGTTCTTCCTCTAAGCCAGAAACTATTAAACACCCATCAGTGAGCGTCACTCCTGCACAGGGTCACATGTTCCTTCATCTCCATGAACACACACACACACACACACACACACACACACTGCAGTTTATTCGGACTCAGTCCCACATACACCGTCCTGCTGCCCCAAATACTCTCTAGAGCTCCACATGTGGATTCAACCGCCGCTGAAAATAGTCCAAAACAGATGCAAACTGTTGCAGAATGTTTCTGCAGCACCAGTATTACAATTTATAGAAAATCTATAGAAATAATTATTATTCACATAACACAGGTGATTGCGATTTCAGCTAAAACAGGTGTCCTGTTTTTAGAGCAGTCTCGTTACCAAACAGACAAAACGGGGCGGCTTCAGTGTAATTACTGTATTATTGCAGCCATAGAATTTTATTTCTTCACTAGTAAATTACTTTGTGCAAAGATTTAGAAAAATACCATTCTTGTAACATTAGCTTTAGTAGAGTCAATGAAGTGAAAAGTTGTTATTCTAATATTAATGTGAAAAATCATTCAAAATTCAAAGAATAAAAATCCTTCCTGTATAATCCTGCCTGTCTTTAGTGTTTTTTTGTTATGAGGGACGTTGTGTTGCAAGTGTTTTGGTTGAAGGATCTAATTTTAAGACATGTGTCTGACAAGTGTTTTGGTGGTTTGTCGAGGTGAGAACAACCATTTGGCCATGATTCATGTTGTTAAAGCAGACTGTATGAAGATAGATGCTTGTTAGCAATTAAAAAAAAACAACAGTATTTTAGATATTAAATTAAGTTGATCAGTGATGATAATACTCCAGGATGTCACTACACCTGGATAAGAAACAGTCCTGCACATAAACCCCTGTAAAAACACAAACTGTCATGTTTACACTTCAGTTTTTGTGCACATTAAGCAAACAAGATACCACATGTTAATTAGTGAGGTTTAGAGGTGCTGCTAGGTGGACTTTATTACCTTCAGACAGAGCCAGGCTAGCTGTCTCCCCCTGTTTCCAGTCTTTATGCTAAGCTAAACTGCCGGGTGTAGCTTCACATTTTGAGTGGTGTCTATGTTCTGATATAACTCCTGACATGAATGCAAATAAGCGCATTTCCCAAAATGTAAAAATATTCCTATCGCCACTGATCGACTGAGCGAAACAAAACAACCGTTGTGAAAGCATCAGGGAAGCCAAGTAGGTAAGCTTTAAAGCAAATCAGTAAGAACTACTTACAAAAAAAGATTATTCAAATTTAGTTTTACATTAATCTAAAGGTCATCACCATAGAAACTAGGTCTTTAGACCAGTTCAGGTTTGGATTAAAAACCAACAGTGGTTTAAGCAGTGGCTCTGAAAACGTGGTCCGGGGGTCCCCAGACAAATTTAGTGAGATCCTACGCTGGCTGGTATCACTACACACTGTTTTGTGTTTCTATACTATCTGAACTGAATCATATTTATATAAAAGTCTTCTCAGATGGGGTTTTCACGACTTCGTTTTAAAACGCAGCACTTTTGCTATGTTTACACCTGCTGTTCAGACTAAAACTGCAAATCCAAATACCTTAAACAAAGAAGTCTGAAAACGCTGCTGACCCCTTTTGGGTTTCAAATCTCCAGGATCGTTGTCGATCCATCCAAAGAAATCTCTGCTGTGGCTTTCACCATCGCTGTTCTGCGTTCATCTCTAGCGGTACTTTATTCTTTAGCCGAATCTTCTGCAGCTGCGGAGTAAACAATCTGCTTCCTGTTTACACCGGCAAGCGCATGCCCAGTGTGCTTGAATGGCCACTTGATGTGCGTTTAGTTGTTTTAACCTCTAAACATTCCTGTAAAAATCATGCACAACGCTTTTTGGATTTTGGATGATACATAATCATTTTTAAAAAATGAAGCATTTATTTGCATAATGTTTCGTAAGTCAATCAATAATTGTGTTAATAATCGTGATACACGTAAGTTCTGATACGAGATGTTCGTGGTTTCTATCAGTGACAGTAAAACCATTCAGATTCAACACTGTTTGTTGTTAGAAGACATAAATGCCAATAATAGCAAGAGTAAAAGTCTGCAGCCGAACCAGTAGCCGAAGAATGTTGGACGAACGAAAAATGGAGAGACATTTAAATGATACCCAGTCAAAGTAACTGCAGTGAAGACAATACAGTGTATAAACAGTTATTGATCAATTTAAATGGAGTCCCAGCCTTGTGTTTGCGCATGACCATCTGGCTGGGTCCCTCTCGTCTCTTATGTCTTCCTTCATGTCTCCTCTAAGGCTCGCTGTCTTACCGTAGCAACAGGAAATAGCAGCATTGTTTTAGGGGTAAATCTAGACAGCAGGAGGAAGGAAAAGATAACAGAGAGAGAAAGAATATACTCTCCTGGGATTGTGTAGGGTCAGAGGCTAACACACTTCACATTGCCCCGGCCTATCTGAGTGTGTGTCAAACAGACAAAGATGGTTCTCATGGAGGAAACCCTACCTCAGAAGCATGACATTTTTCCTAAACAGAAGAAGTTAATCCAAGTGATGTTACACAAGGTGTGAACAAACTTGTGGTACCTGTTTGCGGGCCTGGTTGAGGCCCTGCAGGCGCTGCTGGAGTTCACTGCGGTAGTTCTGGGCCGCCTCGATGCTTTCTTTCGCCTCCTGCAGCAACAAGTCCACCTCCACAGACATCCTCCCGCCTCCTGACACTAACACAGGAGAAGAATATTTACAAAATGCACGCAAGAAAACCTGAAACCAGGAAAAAACAAACTTTACTTGGAGTTCACCGAGTGTAAAAAGACTGCAGAGCAAAATGTATCAGCTCAGGAACTGGTAAAATTACTGTTTATTATTTAATTTTTTCTCTTTGTTCATACAGTTTTAATGGAACTGCTTCATACTGCTGCTGTAGTGAAGTAGCAGCAGCAGAAAAAAAACACTTACAAGTTAAGTGATAAAATATGTTGTTTTATAATTTGGTGAAGCAAAACTTTAAGAAAATGCAAAGCATTGATCCCAGAGGTGCAACCTAGGTAAATAAAAAAAGAAGGGACAACTACTATACAAAAACATTTTGCCAGTGAACATAATCAGAGCAAAACAAAGTCTATAAATGTCATTCCTAGAAGACAGGGTTGTATTGACCCGCTGTACTTATAATAGTTGATTCAATCAGTTTAATGTAACTAACATTTGTTAAGATGCTTGTTGAAAGTGTATCTTAATTAAAATATATTGAATAGTTGCTGAATTTGGGTTATCATTACACCTGTGTGAGACTGCTCTGTATTCTCTACAATGCGTCATGAGAAGAATAAAAATGTGTGCGGGGGACCCAGCCTTTTTTTTATTTTACCGTTCACCCCAAATATCACAACAAGCTCACCAAAAGTGAACGAATAATGATGTGTGTCTTTTGCATGCTAATAAATCAATTGCATTATTTTTGGAAAAAGACCAGCAGACCATGTATCACATATTGGGTTCAGCAACATATGTACAAAAAGGGAAGCAGGACGTTTATGAGAAGGTTTCAGTACTGACCAATAAACTTTTTAACACTGCTAATGAAAGTTTAAAACTATAAAACAAGGAAATTACCTTCAATTGAATCGGCTAGGCATACATTATATGAAAGGTATATCTTTTTTGCTCTTTATTTTGACTTATGTTTGCTGTTCCTGGTTGTCAGATTTAGTTTTGTTTCCAGCACCTGTACCTCAGCGTAGATTTGAGTGGTCCCGAACCAAACCACTTCCGTAAGATGGGAACTGTTCACGGTGTACACGTGTGTTTCAGTATAGAAAATCTTAATTAAAAACTACAAGGTACCACACAGGCTGAAGAGCATTCTGACTGAATAGGATGTGTAGCAACGACTACGGTGCGCAAACCACTTCCTACCGCCACCAGCCCGAAACCAACCAACCAATCAGTTAACAATACCAATAAACTTTAAGCTTGACTTTCAGTATGCAACAGCATGGGATAAAACATATACTGACCTTTATATACTATTTAAATAAGGACTGCTCGCTGTGGCCCAACTCTGATACAACATAAACCTTCTTTGCAACAACAACCCCCCCACAAATAGGTGCACTCTTTATACAGTACTGACCCCAGAGTTAACTCAATGATACACTCAGCCCAGCAGGTTATGTAAAATCAGTTGATAAGCTCCTTCCTTTGACCTTAGCATGTATTATCAAAGATCACTAAAATAATGCTGCATTTGGTTATTTTGGCTGCACGTTAATGTTAAAGCTGTGTGTGTGTGTGTGTGTGTGTGTGTGTGTGTGTGTGTATGGGAACACTGATAGCAAAGAACAACATAACACCAACAATTAAGGTGTGTCTAGCTCTGCCAGCTATAACAACATCAAAGTTAATGTCACCGCAGTCACAAACACAACCTGCAGACTGCTTCTAAAAGTGCTTTCTAAGAGATTGCAACTGAACATCTACGGTAACGTGACTCACAGAAACACTTTTCCAACGGTATATAAAACTAAATTAATTAAAGTAATAAAGTCGGGGTACTTCTCATTGGTTTTAACTGATAAAACTCTAATATTTTCTGCTGCAAACTTCTGAATATTAACTCTGAAGCGTCCTGGGTCTGGGTTCAAGACTTGAGAACAATCAAAGGTGCTGCAACACCACACACCTCACATTGAGTGTTAAAAGCAAACTTGCATTACAAGGCGCTCATTTCTAGCTCTATATTTTATTCTGGGATTCAACTAGAGTAGCTTTGCATTTATCGTATACTGGCCCTTAATGCAGCCCCTCAAAAAAACACACAACTTTTATAACAGGCTCAGAGTTCCTAATCCAGGGCAGACTCAGATAGCTAATGGGACCTTTAGCTGCGAGGATAACTGAGCTAACTAGCCACCATTAGCAGTAATTAACTTTAGCTACAGGTAAATGAAGGCTTAAAAGTAAATTTCCTTTTTCCACGTCCTCCTCAGAACCGAAAGTAGTGACACAACCTGGCCCTCGCTGCGGTCGGCCACGCTTCCTGTACAGCATCTAAAGAGGAAGTCACAGACAGGCATCTTCTGCTACATACAGTATCATCATGTAGCATAGGAGGGCATCTTATGTTACACTATAAGAAACTTAAACATTCATTGCAGCCCTAAATGATCAACAACAACAAGTGTATTTCCCTAAATGTCAAACTGCTGACGATTTACGACTAAAACCATTGATTGTGTTGGAAATCCTTCCTCTACCATTTTAAAACCGTGCAAGTGCAGTGTAGGGAAATTGTCCTTATGTAATAATATATGATGCAGACTTACCAAAATACCACAAATATGTCATCCAAATTAGACCAAACAATATTAATGTACTTTGAGTGACTAGACTGTACGGCTGCAACCACACGGCAACCTCCGGGTCTGAAAAGTGAAGCCAACGCTGAAGTAACTTAAACCTGCATTCTCTCTAACGGCCAGCAGGGGGCGACTCCCCTGGTTGCAAAAAAGAAGTGATTGTATTGAAGTCTATGAGAAAATGTTTCTACTTCTCAGCTGATTTATTCCCTCAGTAAACACTTTCCTAATGACTTTATGGTCCCAGTCGCTAGTTTCATGTCTTCTTCAACACAGCATGATGTTCATTTAGTAAATTATGGTCCCATTTAGAGGAAAGTAGACCATAAAACAGAACACGGTTTAGGGCGGGCTACCTTACGATTGACATGTTCCTATGACGGCAGCATGTAAATCAGGCTGGAGGCAACTCGTATCCTCTGCTCTGTGTAGATTTGACCAGCGCCGTTGGGTTGGCTGTTCATTGTTTTCCAGTGAGAACTTTTTGTTCTAAGCCTGTTTTTCGCAAGCCAAAATTAGCATCCCGGTTAAAATCACAGTTAATGTGAATTAAAGATACACCTTGCTAACCAAGCTAGCTAACTCGTGCCTCTTGTCCAAACTCGAGGCTTCAAAACAGTAGTCCACAAAGCAACGGGTGACGTCACGGTGACTACTTCCACTTCATTTATACAGTCTATTGCTGCAACTAATGATCAAAGAAGGCAAACTGAAATGTTCAATAACTGTGAAAATGCATATTAGAATTTCCCAAAGCACAACGCAACAAACCTCAAATGTCTTCTTTTGTCAATCAGCAGTCCAAAACCCAAAGATATTTCATGTACTGTCACATATGACAAAAAAAAAAAGCAGCAAATCCTCACGTTTAAGAAGCTAGAACCAGCTGATGTTTTGGCTAAAAACTGACCGAAACAGTTAATAGATTCTCAAAATATTTGCAGATTTCATTTGATTCTAAAAATACAAATTAAATCGACTAATTGTTTCAGCATTAATACACTATATACATTCATCAAAGAATTTGTGGTGTAATTAAAACGTCCTAAAATGATTGTCTCAGAATATTATGATCAGATCCCACACAAACACAACCAATAATCAAATGTAAATAACTGCCACATTCTTTTTATTATTCTATTACAGTTTGTATATCCTGTCATTTTCATATTTTAGATTTACATTTTTTGTGTTTATTGTTCAGCACCAAATGACCAGAGCAAATTTCTTGTTTTTGTAAACCTATTTGGCAATAAAGCCGATTCTGATTCCGATAAAACGGCTCTACTGTTACAAACCACGACAAACAAACCCCAGTATTTATACAAACATGAATGCAAACGTAGCGTCACAGAATTATGCAGGCATGCAGTCGCTCGCCCGCTGTGACATAAGAACAACATGGACCTAAGATACTGATCCTCCGCCCTCTCTGACTCCTTTCTTTCTGGTAAGAAACTGCAGAACAGCAGCCTTTAGTCCATCCATTAAAGCCACCCACAACATTTTCTTTTTCATCCACTAAAAGAGGGTGCTGGCACTCTCTCCATCTCTCTTAATCCTGTGGTTTATAATCCCTCTTTCTCTCCAAAAAACTGCTAAAGACTCAAAGTGAATGCCGGGCACTTTACCAAGCAAACGTTAAGCCGGTTTTCCTATAACACAGAACATCTCTTGCCTATATGATACGGGTGTGGCTGGAAACAACCTAACTGACATGTCCTTTGTCTTTATGTCTTGTATGCTTGTGATGTGTAATTGTGTGTGATTGTGTAAATGTTAAGTTGAGTGGAACTGTTGTCAGCAGCCTGCTTTTCAGAGTATTTAGGTCAACATGCATGGATGGAGGGATGATGTCCTACTGTCCCGCTTTTCACAGGTCTTTCAGACCGTTTACGGTTTCCTAAAAATGCAGTGACAAAAACAAGTCCTGCCTGGGGGGAAAGTGTTAAAGGAACTTTGTATGAGGCAGGAAAAGCCATATAATTTGACATATTTCCAACGCTAGAAACAACGAATATTGACTGATCAAACAGATGTCATTAAAGGTTTTGTTGTACTGCTTTTTTTTGTGCTTGTTTATTCCGGTTCATGATTCTGTGTTTTAATGTTATTTCTCAATTTCCTTGTGCATACTAGCTTCTATTTCAACGTTTTTGAAGCATTTAACATTTTATATATATCAGTGGACACAAACTGTATTCTCATGCAACTAACTTGAAAAATCTACAGAGGAGCTGAAGCTAATAATAACGCAAAAATTACACTTTGTTTTGACGTTCTTAAGCACTTGAATGCTTCATATTGTTTTGACCCAATGTGAATTTTCATATAAATGTCATCAGCTAGGAGGATGCATGCAACTCTTTGATGCATGCTGCACATGCTCTGACTAACAGGAAAGTTATGAAAGGCACTCGAGTGCAAACCCAGGTTATTATTATTAGACCACTGACAAGAAGAGACAACAGGAGACATTAGACATGTCTAAACTCGCTTACAGCAACTTCCGTATTTTGTAGTTTATTTTCAACATCAACAAATTTCTACCCACCACTGCCTTACAGTCTCATTTCGAAGTCCATAATCTAAAATGCAATTATTCACGCTAATATCTCATATTTAAGCCCTGATAATATTAATGTATCTGGCGTATTGTGGGAGCTACTCCCAAACTCCATTAAGAAATCTCATATTTTTAAGTTGGCGATCATGTCAGCGGAACCCAGATACATCAAAGTAATACAAATAAGATGTTTCTTAAATGAATAATGTATTTCAATAAATTCGGCGTACAAGCTATTCACTAAGCAAAACATTTATCCACGAAATATCAACTTCAACAGATGGTCCCCGCTGCACTTAACGATGTATTTTGGAGAAGATGACAATAACTAGCAACTAGCAAAAAAGCTGTCAGTTAACAGCTGTACGTGAGACTGAAATAGTGCTACTGAGTCAGTGGAGAGTTTATTTAAGAAACGGGCCAGTTAGCGAGACCACATTACCACATTTTAACGGAGTTTGTCGTAACCTTTTCTCAATAACCTTACAAAACATGAGGAGGAAAGTTGGGGCTAGCTTGTGGCCAAAAAGACAATGAACCTCTCTGGTCGTGCTTGGAGAGCGCAAACACAACACTCCTTTAACTACGAAAGAAATCAACGGCTAAGTTAATCGGTGAGGTTCAAATTCTCGGAGAAATGTTTTCAAACGTACCTGTTTTAGTGCTTTCTGGTGGCCATTTCTTTCCCGAAAGTTGTGAATCAGCTCGCAGCCGCCGCGCCACACCACCGTTAGATTCGCCGAAGTTTTGCTCAAGTCTAAAAATGACACTTCCGAGGTGTTAGAGACGAGAGCCAATCACAGACAAGATCCTTTCGACGGACAGGGAAATCAGCCAATTGGATTGAGATGTGCTACGTAAACCCCTCCCTAATCACCCCCCCCCAGATTAAGTGAAACCCATGAAATTAGTTGATGTGTCCAAATCTGGACAGTACTGCAGTACATATATATACTGTAGATAGTTATGTTGTATACTTTAGTATTTTATGCGTAGGACCTCATAATGGGATTACCTAAATTATAAAATAACAAATATATAAATTGATGCCGCCTAATATCTCACAGTGTTTCATCTGCATTTATCCTTAACTCTGTTAAATAGCCTACTGCATATATCCACTCCTTTTAATGTTTATACATTTCTATATTTTTTTCATATTTTTCTCTACTTACCAATTTTCTATTATTATTTCTATTCCTTTTATGTCCTGATGTGCAAAGTGAGCAACTGAAACAAAATAACTTATCCTCGGAGATAAATAAAGCATTTCTGATTCTGATAAACGTGTGTGCGTCCGTAATGCATTATGTGGGCCTTGAATCAAACATTCACATAGCCTGAATTAGCTAAATGAAAGTACGATGAGATTCTGGTCTGACAGTGAGGATAAACAGAAACTGTCCTCGCTCAGCTCTCAGTTGGGATAATGGACTCTGTGTGGAGTGAAGTCGCTCTCTGTTGGTTGTAGTGGAAACAGCATTGCCGTGTGCAGGTCATCTGCTTTACCTTGTCCTTCAAATAATATAAAATAAGTTAGTTCTCTGCATCTAACCCATCCTAATTAGGATTAATTGCGTGGCGCCCGGGGGGTTTCAGGGCTACGCTTAGGGGCACCTTTGGCAGTGGTCCTTGGTGGACTCGAACCCAAGGTCGGTTGAATAAATGCAGACAGCAATCTTGGCCAAACACGCCAGGTTCTTGAAGATCCATGTTTGATGGATCAAAGACATTATTACCCTAATATCCTTTATGTTTTTTTCACAGGCTACAGTATACAGAACACATATACACACACTATAAACAAAGCAGATTGAGACAATGGTGCAATAGTGCGATGAACAAAGTGCAAGGGATGTAAGAGTAAATTATTATTATTATTATTATTATATTATTATTATTATTATTATTATTATTATTATTATTATTATATTATTATTATTATTATTATTATCATTATTATTATGTCAGAGTCGGATGTGATATACAGGTGCACATACAAGTACAAGCATGCACAGTGCAAAGTGCAAAGGATGCTGTAATAAATAAGTGTTGTGTGCAGGTGTTTTGTACTTGAGGTAGGTGGGTTTGGTATGCAGTATTAGACAATATGAACACTATGAGCAGCATGAATAGCTCTGAAATAGAGAATGATGAATAAATGATAAGTGATAAAAAGAAGAAGAAAAAGAAAAAGAAGAAAAAAGAAGATGAAAAAGTTAAAGCCAATACTTAAGTAATTTATCTCCAAGCCTCCTAGAATAACAATGATGTTTGAAAATAAATTTTGACAGCCGTCAAGACTGCATCCATCCCAGTATAGTGGAATCATGCCTGCGGCGTCCCTCGGGGACCCAGGATCAGCACCTCGGACAGTGATCGCGACTAAATTAAGTAATAAAATATTCACCTGTGATGCAGGAGAACGCTTTAAACTGTGGGCTGAACAACAGCCTTCCGCCTCCAGACACTTTTGGACAGGGTCAGTGTCACACAGCTTTCCAGCAATCTGAAATCAGCTGATGTTTCCAAAAGTCTGTTTAAGAGTAGAAGTCCTTAGTTTGCCTGTCATACGATGTTTGCAGGTCTGGATGAAACTGTGGGTCATGAGGGAGCAGTGACATGCGCTCACTGCGGGGTTGGGCACCGCTGATCTGACAATGCTTGGATTGGCTGAACCCGCGTCAACACAGAGCCCTGTGCAGCAAACTAGTGCTGCTGATGTCAGTGACGCAGTTTGCCGGAGATCTATGTATGAGCAGCCTGGGACAATCCCTCAGATTAGCGCTTGACCCGCAGGATTTGTTGGAGAGCCACCTGATTCACCGGCAGCGAAACGCCGAGTCAGAACACGCAGAATTCTACATTTAGGCTATATTTATATTCAACCTGAGCCTTTTCTTCAAGCTTCTCATTGGGAAATATTTTATGCATGCATAACTCCAGACGCAAAACTTTAGAGGAGCTCTCTCCAAGTGACCAAAGTGGTGCCATGGCAGGTTTTACGCAGAGCGCGAATATGCCGATAGCAGTGTTTGAGAAACGTTTTGGCAAAGTCGACATTTCTCATTACTCATCTGAGATTTGATAATGTGTGATGTTCCTGCTGCCGGTATAAAGGTCTAATCCTTCCCTCATTTCCGCGCACAGATGGATTGCGTCGTGTCAGCCAGCCGACTCATACCAGGGCCTAGTCAAATTCATTTAACCGCTATGCCTGCGTCTTGATTGCTAAATTGAAGCCACTGGTCAGTCCAGCATCACTTTGTCAGCGCCCACACGACCCCAGCTTCTCCTCCTCCTTGAGCCAAAATGAGGAGAGCTGTACTGAAAGAAGCCGCCAAACGATTCCCCTGGCTGGCTAATGTCACTTTGTACGGGTGCTTCTTCGCCGGCGGCGACCTTGTCCATCAGCTCATAGCTCAGAAGGAGCGCATAGACTGGAAACACACTCGCAACGTGGCCATTGTAGCAGTCAGTTTCCACGGAAACTTCAATTACTTCTGGCTACGAGCCCTGGAGAAGCGTTT